GGGCGGGGCGCAGGGGCCTGGCGGGGCCGGGAGGCGAGGAGGCCCGGGTGGACGAGCGCCGGGGCCTGCGGCGCGTTCCCGCCCGCTGTCACCGCCTCGGCCCGAAGGGACCTTAGCGCGGGTCCTTCTTGGGGTGAGTGTCGCCGCCTCCTGGGGCTGCGCGCGGTCGAGGTCTCCCCTTACTGTGTGTGGGCCGGAGAGCGGGGGAGGAAGAGGGGATGCAGGGCGCGGCGAGTGCTCTTACCGCGCACCGCAGGGGCCAGACCGGGAGACCCGGGACGGGGTGAGTCCCGGAAGGCGTGTGCAAATCCGAACGCGTTTGGGATCCTGCGGGGACACCTGAAGGTCAGTGGGGTAAAGTACACCCGGGGAGTGTTTGACCCTTGTGCCCAGATACCAGGATTTGGAAGTTCTTGGAGTTCTCGCCACCTCGATTAAAAAAAAAAAAGGCTGGATAGAGTCAGTGATGACATGCTCACGTTTTCCGGCTCTCCCACTTTGTTCTTTTTCCTTTTCCTCTCTTGTTGCTTTCATGAAGGCACGTCCCTTAATCTGAGGTTTCCTTTGGGGAAGAAGGTGTGAAGCCGCCATGCCCCAGAGTTACTCCTGAGCCTTTGTGACAGATCTTTCCACTGGTACATTCAAAAAGTGGTCAAGGGGAGGAACTTTTGCTAATGTTAGCTTTCGCTCCTTTTCCACCTGTTGCAATGTAAGACTTGCTCATCCTTCGAAGTCCCATCTCAAACCGAGCTCTTTATTTATTCATTTATTTATTTATTATTATTCTTGTTTGTTTGTTTTCCAGTACCGGGAATCAAACTCACGAGCTTGCGCTTGCCAGACAAGCGCTGTGCCGCTGAGCTAAATCCCCAGCTCCCTGAGCTCTTTATTGATCCTTCTACCATTTCTCACCAATCCCAAAAGCTCTGAATTATCCCCTGTTATAAACTACCGGGACACCCAGCTGAGCCACATGCAAAGAAAAAATGTGTTCTGATAGGTTCAGCTGCCTTCACAAGTGCCATCAACAGGCTGAGCAGTTATTAAAAATGAATTTCCAATTAACAGGCAGTACTCAAGTTTGGTGGTAACCCACCCTATTGGCCTTTCTATCCTTGGTAAAATACATGTCAGGTCTTTGTAAAAAACGCACAAAACAAAGAGTCATCTTGTATTAGCTCTTCCAAAGCCATCTGTTATAAAGTAGGTCATACACCAATGATATTAAAAACTAAGAATCAAAAAAAGGTAAAGAATTTCAAAGGAATGAGTTGAATGATAATTTAACAGCATCAGCTCCTATGTCAGGCAGATCTGGACGTGAGGCCCAGCCTTGCCGCTAAATGTAAGCTTGAAGAAAATTACTTAATTCCCGTCAGCACTGTTTATGTATTTCTGAAATGTGAGGATTAAATAAAACGCTCACTGATCTTTTGCCTTTGTCTCTATTTTATGGCCACGAAAACTAATCGACAGTGCCAGCCTGCATCATCATGGACTTCTGATTTAGTATTTGTAACTTCATAGTTTACTTAGACCCAATTACAGATTTTGGAAAGGTTATGAAATAGCACTGACACATAACTGGAACAATAACATAAACCTTTAGGTCTATACTAGAAGATGAAGTAAAATCAAGTAGCTTTAACCCCAGTGGCTTCTCTCCTCTACAGATGATAGATAACTCAGCAGATGACCAAACATGGAGAATTTCTGGAGATTACTGGGTGCATACCAGCGTTAGATATAGTAATTTACAGGTGCTTGAGAGGAAGATTTGTTAAACAATTTCCATTTCTTTATGATGTTAAAAGTTTCCAAGTTAAAAATCATAGGCGTGATCAGTGTAGGTGAATCGGAGGGTTATCATAAGCAACTAACTTTGAGGAAAATTGTACATCCGTATTCCTGTATCAAAAAGCAAACAGCATGTTATGCTTTTAAGTGCTTCCTGCAATAAAACTCCAAGAGGTCAGTAATCACTAAATACTTAAATACTACCAACACTGAAATCAGAGCCTGTATAGTTGTCCAGTGTGAAAAGCAGGGAGTGGTGTCCCTGTCATAAAAAGTAGTGGACTAATGACTGAAACAGTGCATGCAAAAGCACTGCAGGCCAAGACATTACCAAATATAAGTACCCTTAGCTGTTTTAGTTTTTGAAGTACATATTGGGAGTTGAACCCAGGGCCTTGTACATGCTAAGCAAGTGCTTTTGGAATGAGCTGTGTCCTTAGCCCTTTTTACTTCATTTTTGAGAAAGGATCTTGGTAACTTGTCCTGGTTGGCCTTTCCTCAGCCTGCTGAACAGGTGGGATTGCAGGCATGACATTTAACCTCATGAACTCCTATGAGATGATTTTTTAAAAATTTTATGTAGATAAAAACAATGACAAAAGAGGTTGAGTAACTGGTTTAAGTAATACCACTAATGGTAAGGTCAAGGTTTAAACCAGAACAGTCAATTACCAAAGCTCCCATCTCTAGCCACAAGGTACATTGCCTCTTAGGTGAAAATACGTATCATGTGAAAGTTGCACAGTTTTGCAGCTCTCATAGGATCTACTGAACTGTATGCCTCCAGTGGGTGAACTTTATAGTATGTAAATTATAAATCTTTAAAAGCTATTAAGATGTAAAATGGCTGAAAACTTATGATAGTCACAATTTTATGACACTTTATATGTAAGGTCAATATATAATCTCTTTAAATAATAAGTATTCTTACTGTATTTGAGCACAAACTTCAAAATCCTACATTTTAATGTTGTCTTTCCATCTTTCCAACGTATACAGGAGCTTTTTGTTTCCTATTAAAGGAAACAAGACCCTTTTCTTCTACAAAACCCAAGTACCAAGGAGGTTTTAAATAGTCTTCAGTGAAGCTTCCAAAAACATGAATTGCTTGGGCTGCCTTTTCAGAGCCAGCGTTTTTGAAATATCCCTACAGCAAATTGGCATAGGATATAAAACTTTGCTTTCATTGGAACATCCTGTCATTTGTTCTTTTGAAGTTCTTGTATGTTCCCTTGCTGGTCATAGGATGCCTGCCCAAAGATCCTATTGCCCCATCTCTCACAGAGATCACTCTGGTAAGGAGAATTTAGAAATACCTGAGCTCAGTATTTGACTTGCCAGCTTTCTAATAGGCTACTCAAAGCTCACAGATCCTCTCTACCTGCAGTAGATTTGGGGCTTTTTTTGTTCTTTGGTGGGTGTTTTGGGGACATACGGGAGGCTTTCCGATAGAGTTGCACAGTGTAGTCCAAGCCGGCCTTGAACTTACTGCGTATCCCAGGCTGGCCTGTAACTGGCAGTCCTCCTGCCTCAGCTGTCCTATTGCTGAGATTACAAGTGTGAGCCACCATGTGCAGCTACAGTGTTTTTTTACATATAAATACTTTATATAGTAAACTTCCACTGCAAATTGCACATATAGTAGAAATGCTGAGAAAGAAAGGAGATAGGAACAGTTTCACCAAGGACTTTTGTTGATTGTTAGCATTTGTAAAATTCCTCATCACCACATCCTCATGAGAAGCTCATGGTCACCACAGAAAGCCCTGCATTCATCATCATTGTCATTAACACAAGAACAGACGAATTTATTGTGCAACAAACCAGCAAGTCAGATATGTAGATATTAAAAACTGAAATAAAATACAGTAGAAAATGTCAAAGCACATCATTCTAGGAAGGATTGGGTATTTTCATGGAATTTAGTTTCAAATATATGTTTATGTGTGTGTACCTGTTGTAATACAGTTGGAATTTATATTAGCACAGTGAGTCTATGGAACTGCATTATATTAACCTGTATTTTATTATCTGTGCAAGTGTTTACTTTCCTCCTATAAAACTTTGAATTTTTTATTAGCATGTGTTTGCGGTACATAACAATTACATTCATCATGAGGATTGGTACATGTACATAATACATTTTAGTTCTTTTTTCATCCCCTTCTCTCCCACCTCCTCCATTTCTTGAACTCCTTCCATTTTGCAAAAGATTTATCTCTCTATTTTCTATTATCTTTTATTTTCCTCTTTACTTATACTTTGGTTTTCTCATATAAGAGAAATCATGCAATCATCAAGCTTTCATATCTGATTTATTTCACTTAACATTATGGTTTCAAGGTGCATCCATTTTCCTATAAATAATTCGTTTATTCTTATGGCAGAGTAGTACTCTATCATGTGTAAATACCCTGTTTTCCTTATCCATTCATCTGTTGATGGACATGTAGACCATTTCCAAGATTGAACTATTACAAATTGTGCTGCTATAAACAGAGTGTGCATGTATCATTGTAATACTGTAATGCTTTATTTAGCTCTTTCTGGACGATACCTAGAAGAAAAATAGCTGGATTGAATGAAATTTCTAATTTTAGTTTTTTGAGGAATCTCCATACTGATTTCCATAGTAGTTGTACTAGTTTACATTCCCACCAACAATGTCACAGAGTTCCTTTTTCCCTGTTACTTATAATGACAGTTTTTGGATACTTTAGTAATCAATAATATGGACTGGGGCTTGACAGAAGATCATCTTAGACTGAATTTTGCCTTCTATTGAATTACAGTGCAAGCTGATGATCTTCAAAGAGTGTTACTTTAATTTCCTTGTTATCAAAAAATTTCAGTTAAGGGATATGTTTTTTGTTAGCTGAAGCTCTGAATGAAGTAGCTTAAAGTGGTTTTCACTAAAAACTAACGCCTATTATTTAACATTCTGCATATGATCTTTATTTTGCTGTTTTACACTTTTTTATTAAGTTATACAGTTTTACAAGATTATATGTGGAGCTCAGGCATGTGTGTAATTTTCATTCTGGAGTTGGGGGTGGGCTCTGGCTCTTAAAAGCCCAGGGTTTGGGTGGATGAGGAAGCAGAGTAATACACGGGGAGGACTCCTTGTGGCCTTCTTCAGTTACTGAGTGAAAGGAGGTTTCTTCACATTCAGAAGCATTTCTACCGCTGTTCCTACAAAATAAGAAAAGAAACATAAGTAGAGTACCCCTTTGATCTTTGCTTGTTTATCCCCCAACAGTTAATTTTCCTTCATTGCTAATCATTCAAATAAAATACACATTAAAAGTACTGTACAGTTATGCCTTTGATAAACTTAATTACACATTGTAAGACAAAACATGGATCTAGGTAGGGAAGAAATTTGATTGCTCTTAGGAAATGTATGTTGTTTCCTTCTCACATTACAACTTCTGCCCTGTGAAATGCAGAGATTAGCGAGTGCTTCTTAATATACAGTTATCCTTTAAGTATTGTCAATAAATAAAACTTATTATGAGCAAATATCACTGCTCAGAATCTAGTTGAAGTTCAGAATTAACTTTTGAAATTCTAAACAAGTAGCTTTTCAATTCTGGGCAGAGCAGAATGAATAATTTTGTCATACGTTTTTCTACTTATTCCCCCTGATTTAACTTCAATAAATAAAGATAGATAGATAGATAGATAGATAATTTAACATGAGTTATTTGATTAGTTTTAAAAATTAAATTTAGAAATACATTAATTCTCAGAAGGATATTGACAGCAGTGCAACTTTTCAGAGCTCTTTTCTAGACTCCACACACCTCTTTCAACAGTGAGGGCGTTTTCGGTGTCACAGTCCCGGCATCCAACGGCAGGTCCTGTCTGGAACCTGGGTCGACTCAATCATGTAGCCATAGCAGTGCCGGATTTGGAGAAGGCCTCAGCATTTTACAAGGATATTCTGGGGGCCCAGGTAAGTGAAGTGGTCCCTGTTCCAGAACATGGAGTCTCTGTTGTTTTCGTCAACCTGGGAAACACCAAGATGGAGCTGCTTCATCCACTGGGAAGTAACAGTCCAATTGAAGGTTTTCTGAAGAAAAACAAGGCTGGAGGAATGCATCACATCTGCATTGAGGTATTTTTATTATTTTAGTGTTTGGTGATGTCAGTCTTTCCTTTTACTCTGCAAGACTACATACACGTGGTCACTGTCCTCAGAAACTTTCATTAAGATCTTTAAAGGGAATAATAGTCCTACTTGAAGGTTAATCCATGTATATATATATCTATATATATATTCTCTTATGCTCTAAAAAACTAAAAAGTATGTTAATGTATTTTATTGAAGTCTGAATTCAACCACTAAGTAGCCCTCAAAGTTGGGTAAAACATGGGCTCTTGCTCTAGGTTTTATATATATAATGGTCATGTAATAGGAATACAATTGCTTTTATTATATGACAATTAGGAGAAGTGCTAAGTTTGTCTTGTTTTGTTTGTTTTATTTTTTCTGATGCTGAGGAGTGAACCCAGGGCTTTGTGCATGCTAAGCATGTGCCCTACCACTGAGCTACACTCCTAGCCCAAAGTATTATAATTATTTTTTGTGCTTAAAATTCCAATAACTTGTTCCTTATTATAAAAGCGATACATTGTCAGTTACTGACTGTGATTTTTAGGATCTTCTAAGTTGTATTTGTTAACAGTTTCTGAGAAAACTTGAGGAAACGTTAGACAAGAACATTCTCATTAGAGAACATTCATCTGCAAGTAATCATGTTCTTTGGAATACCAGCAGCACCAATTAGGCTTCAACTTAAATTCATTTGATAGGGTGATTCCTTTGCTAGAAGTAATGGCATAATTAATAGTTGGGGATCATTCTCTGTCCAGAAGAAAGGTGAGTTGATTCTAGATTGAAGTCAGGATGTGTTCAGTTTGTTATTGCAAACATAGTTGAGAATCTACAGTGTGTATTCTACCAAGTGCTTGGGATTCAGCCACACGCAAGAGATGGGCCTTATTCACAGTGAGGAGGGGCAGGATGTAAACAAGTAGAGTGTACTGTGTCTTCTTGGTGCCACAAGACCAGGAGCTGCAGGATGACAGTGAAGGAATTCCCGGATGAACAATAGGAAAAGGGTCTGCTAGGCAGAAGAAAGAGCACATGGAACACCATAGAGTTAATGTAACAACTAAAACACACTGAGTTCCCTTTGCCAACCTGTGAAGTACTACATACAAGTTTTTCCTTTCATTCTCATAGCTACCCCATGAAGATGTTATTAATCCCAGTTGGCTGGAGAGAAAACAAACTTAACTTGACCACAGTAAAATTCATTTTAAGTGACAAGATTGAGCCCAGATTTGTTCTGATTCCAGGTTGTGCACTCTTGGCCATGAAAGCTGATTGTCTGTGTTGTATTAACTGAGTTTAAAACTTGAGGTGGCTGGGCATGATGGTGCACACCCGTAATCCCAGCACTCAGGAGGCTGAGGCTGGAGGATTGCCATGAGTTCAAGGCCGGCCTGGGCTACATAAGTGAGTTTAAGACCAGCGTATACTACATTTGTTGGAGACCCTGTCTTAACCAAATAAATAAATAAATAAATAAAATTATAAAATTTGGGGAATTACAAGACATCAGACCATATAACTACACAAGGCCTAATATTTACCCTTTGATTCTTAAGAGGTTACTTTTGGTTCCAGGTTTCATCAGTAGACCCGTTTAAGTCCCCCAGGAAGAGATGCAGGACCGTCTGCCTTTGAATCCACTCTCTTCCACACTGTTCTGTCCAGGTTCTACATCAAGAGTCCAGGCCTTCAAAGGAGCTGGCTGTGTGGTTAGAAGTTCAGTTAAGTAGGAGTTCAGTGAAGTAACCGCAAGTTCAAAGGTAGAGATCAAAAGAGGGAAATGAAAATGTATATAAGTATGAAATGAAGGTCGGTAATAGGAGAAAGTCTGGAAAGTAGTTACTACTTCAGTCTGACACCACCTATCATCATTCTGCAACCCCCGCAAAGAAATAAAAGGGGGCAACTTTCTTGCTGAAAGTTTTATTAAAGGTGGTATCTATTTATAGCTTGCAAAGCTCTCTATTTTAAAAATCACCAATAAATATTGAATTTTTAAAAATGGTGTAGGGACTGGGCACATAGATCAGTGGTGGATGCTTAGCATGCACAAACTCTAGGTTCAGTCTCTAGTACCACAAATTAGAGGGAGGTAGGGAGGGAGAAAGAGAGAGGGAGAGACAGAGACAGAGAGAAAGTTTACCTAGATAGATTTTATGTTCCCATTTTCAGTCTAAAATTGAGTTAATCCAACTGATGGGGCAGTTCTGCCACCTGTAGCACTCTGTTTGTAGGTTGTCCCAGGCATTCCTCTTGGCCAGCCAGAGAGAGAACACAAAGCAGACACCGTTAGGATGATTCTGGACATTGTATGCATCACTTCTGTCCACACCCCATTAGCCTTTTAGTCACGTGGCACACATGGCTGCAAGGGAGACTGGGGAATGTAGTCTGTGGCTAGGCAGCTATGTGCCCCATTAAACCTTTGGGGTCACTGGAGTTAACAGGAAGAAAAGGAAACCACACCTCATGCATGCTAGGCAAGTGCTCTACCATTGTTCTGCACCCCAATCCCTGTTGGTCTTATTTTTATTTTGAGACAGAGTCTCAATAAGTTACCTAGGCTAGCCTGTAACTTGTGATCCTCTGATTAGCTGGAATTAGGGCATGTGCCACCATACTCAACACTGGTAATTTTTTAAAAAATTATCCTGGTGTCGTCAGCATAGCACGACAGTCTTTTGAATGGAAAGATGCTATAGGGTGACAATCTTTGAGAATTATTAATCTTTCTCCTCTGTTGTAGTAATTTGCAAGACAGTGGTGTTGTGAGATAGAGGAGGCTTCTTTCCCTGACCCCATCAATAAAGCGGAATTTCTTGCCTTTCCTTGAATAGAAAATACATTTTTGCTGAAGGGACCTGTTGAAATTCCAAGCTTCATTGTGTTCCAAGAGTACGACCTTGTCTATTCTGGCTAATACAGCTTGGGTCTGGAATTGTCTTCCAAGTACAAAAAGTGATGGAGCCAGTCAGAAAGCACTTCTCTGATCATTCTTCTGGTTCCTGTTGCCATGTAATAGAAGGGCGCTGAGCAGCAAAGTATTTTATTTGCTGAAGATTTTGTGGGTCAGGAAGTTCAGGAGGGCTGTTGCTTGGAATCTCACATGGTGACAAGTGTCAGCGGTGGTCACAGTCACCTCCACTGGGCTGGGTGTCCTAACTACTTCATTCACATGGTCGGCAGTTGATGCTGACTCACAGCTGGACTCACAGCTGGGCTTGTACCGGTGCCTCCTTCACCTCTACAAGCTAAGGCTAGAGCATTGCTGGGCTTCTTATTGGGCAATTGGCTTTCCCAGAATGAGTGTCCCAACAGAACAAGCAGAGTAACATGGTATTCTCTGCCCTCAGCTCAGAGGCCGCACAGCAGCACTTCTGCCTTCTTCCATCGGTCATGGCAGGTTCAAGGTAGCCAGATGTGAGGGAGAGTCCCTGCATCCTGCCTCTTGCAGGACGAGTAGGAAGGAACCTGTAGGCATTTTTAAAGTGCGGTAACCATCAGTACATTAATGTGTTCTGAGCAGATAGAAAATGGTGAAACTTCTAAAGGCTCTAGAATGATTTAGTTTTCAAATTGGTAAAAGTGGGATCCAGAATCATTAACGCCACAGAAGAGACAACCTGTCTTGCTTCTGTAACTAGAAGGAGACTCAAGATAATTGGTACTTGATAGTGGATATGCAGCACATCCACAAAAACCAGTTTTTTTTAGCTTTTTTTAATGTTTTGGACATAGCACTGAGAAGTCTGTCTTTTCAGAGTACTCACAGTTCTTCTATAGCTGTATGGTTTATTGCCATGTATCTCTTAATGCCATCCCTTTTTATAGCATTAATAAAAAATAACATAATATGACATTGCAGGGTCCTTTATGTTCTTTCTCACGGGGACCGCATATAAAACTTTTGATTTTACAGTATGTTTGTTGTGGGCTCTCCATGGCTTTTAGATGACTCAACAAAAATTTCCGATAGAACGTCCTTTTTCTTACACATGCTTCAGTCTCATCAGTTCTCAGCTTTTTCTCTCTTCAATTTTGATGATTTCCACTTTTTCCTATGAGATTTGGCTAAATGTCTTGTACTTGTGTCTTTGCCTTGCTCTGGGTGATTGTGTTCCATTTTTTCTTCTCTTGCTCATTGTTATTGTTTATATCTAGATAATGTCCCTGAGCCGGGCGTGGTGATGCATACCTGTAATCCCAGTGCTCAGGAGGCTGAGGCAGGAGGACTGCCATGAGTTTGAGGCCTACCTGAGTTACATAGTGAGTTCAAGGCCAACCTGGACTACAGAGCAAGACCTTGTCTCAAAAAACTTAAAAAAAAGATGTCTCCCAAAAGCCTCACGCATTCACTGGAGGGGCTTTGGGGTGGTGATTGGTCCATGGGTGTGTGATACTCGCTGGTGGATGAGCCCGCTACTGGCTCAATGTGATGTTGGGAGGTGAAGCCTCAGAAGAGGCTGGTCCCTTGGGACCAAGTGGAAAGGGTGCGTCACCTCCTCCTGCCTCGATCCTACTCTGCTTCCTCTCTGCCACACCATGAACTGTTTCTCCTCCATGATGGCCCTCTGCTGTGCCACCTGCCTTAGAGTGAGGCCTCTACAAACAGTGACCAAAGTATACCGCTCCTCCTTTCAGCTGTGGGCATCTGCTTCTGGTGTTGGTTAGGACTGACCACGCTTCCACCAGCTAGCAAAGTATGTCACCATGAACCCTTAAGGGCCGCTTGAAGATCTTCATGTATTTAATACATTTGTACTGAGGTTGTAGAAATACTTATATGTGTCCATTCTGGTTCATTACAGCTGTTCCTTGAAACATCCCCTTTCCAGAAGAAGCCTTCCCTAGGACCCCTCAGCCACGCCCACCAGCCCACCAGGCTCAGCCACCGAAGGGTTGAACCTAGCACAGCAGGGTTCTCTTAGACTGTGCTCCTAGACAAAGGCCCTTCTAGTCTTCTTTACCTTTGTATTTTTCTGGTTGTTAAGTATTTT